TTGCCTAAATACTAAGCAGACATTGGCATGTGCTGAGCTGAGTATCGTGTATTTTTGAACCAAGAAATAAATACCGTCAGAAYTGAATCTCCTATCGATAACAGCGTTATGAGGAAATAAATCTTTATATCCATGAGTCRGTATACGCATAGGGTTTCTGAACCCTGTCATTTGTTGTTATTTTTCTAACAGGTTGTAAGAAAAAGAACACAAGCYAGAGAACTGTGACCCAACATCCCAGGCCATATTTGGGGACTACCCTGGCATGATGCTCTTTTCTCCTGCATTTCACCACACACAAGGAACAGGGAGAATAACAGTCACTGCAGCAGCAAATCACTGAGCACCAAAGCCATGGATAGGGAGGCAATTCCCCTGATGCCCACCTGTCCCATGCAGCTTTCAGTGCCTTTCAGGGCACCAGCTGTAACCACTTGTGCTAAACCCCATGAGCTCGATGCCTTGGGAGTACTTTTATAATCATCCAGCCACAAAGYGGGGGGGAAAAAACATAACCTGATGTCAAGAACAGGTAGTTTGAGACTGATATTGCCTCCTAGGGATGTCCGTGACAGAACTTCCAACACCTTGAACCTAAACCACTACATGAACTGCAAGCAGCTTACTGCAGGTAGCATTCAGCTTCACAGGATGGTTTACCTTCCACATGACAGCAATCTCACCCACCCATGCTCGCTAACACAGGTCATACTGATGAAGACATAAGCCAGGAAGCAAGCAGGAAACCTAAATTTCCCAAGGGCTTAGATTTAGCTTCTCAACCCACGGAGCATCCCCTGCCAGCAACAGCATTACCGCTCTCCCTGGGGAGCTGAGCTCAGCTGTGTGTTCACTTGCTGTGCAATCACACCTTCACTGCCAGTGCAGACCCACCCCTAGCCTCGAAGGGAAGCTTGAAAGATAAACCCCAACAGACTATAAACAGTTGCCGCTGTTTCCTAATCTTCTTCCCCTTTCTTCTCCCTTCATTTAAGCCTGRCCTAACACACTCATTCACATATCTTCAGGACTGTCTTTCAGGCTCCCTGCTCTCAGGTTACTATTTGTATTCACCAATACTTCATGTAGGGTAAAATGCTGTGGCAATCTCTAATAATAAGCACTGTCCTGGGCACCTTATGGCATTCTGCTTATCCTTTAATACCACACATATGACTATGCCTTTTCATGGTAAGCCTCACAACAGCTGCCCATTGCACATCTCCATTTGCTGCGCATAAAACCAGCAATGCCTTTGATCTTCCGAGTTTAGTTTTCCTTTATTCACAGGCAGACAAAGCATGCTTGCAAGACTGCAGGAGAGGAATAAAAATACAGGGGACCCTCTGCACCAAGTTGTATCCAAACAGTGTCTCCCCAAAAAGAAGTTTGCAGAGAAAGAACAACAGATATAGCCCATTTCTGGTAAAGTGAGAATACCTAACTTTTTTTCTAATCACAGGAAGATAAGATGGATACTTAYGGGAAATGGATATTCTCATCCTCCTCCAGGTAATCACTTGGAAAAATTAAAACTGCCTTGCATAAGCATGTGGGAATTACTAMAATGGTAGGCAACAGTGCAAGGCCAGAAGTAGAACTAAAAAGTTTCTTTAAAATACCCCACCATCTATGCAGATGTCAAGCCCTAGTCAGATTATAAAAGGGCTTAAATAACTTCAAAGGAAAATTAACACATGCAGTTGATTCTTCATCTCAGAACCTGGTCTGTCTGAGCACAACTGTTATAGTTTCCTTTAGATCTCCAAAAGGAGAATTTTAGGTTTAATTTTTTGCCCATTACAATCACAAATAGCCATGATGGATAAGAGACAAATGCCCATCAAGTCACCTGCCAGTTTTTACCTGGATGAAACCTCCGTGYTTCTTTACAAGACAGAAAATACTAGAAATAAGATACAATAAACTGTCATCATTTTACTGGAGATATTCATTAATTCCCTTGTGGCTATTTATAGGGATATTGGAATTTAGGAAGATTTACCAACTTGGCAATATTGCCAGGCCTGTGAAAAAAGTAAACCTTCTTACACATCTCATATGCTTCCCCTCCCACCCACAAGCAGTGAATAAAAAYGCAGTAAAAACTGAACATTCAGAATTCTTCTAGCATCTTTTTATTCCTAGAATTGTTTATTCTTTATGTTTTAATCTCAGTCATTTTATGTTGCAGTAGGTTTCTTTTCTGAATACAATCTCAAACTTGATTGCAGAGAGCCAATTCTTTTCCAGATTTSGTTTATTTTGTATCATTTACAGAACTTAACTGCCCCATGAAAYCTCTAAGTTATAAGTACTTTTTAATGAAGTTTGTTTTAGGAGCCACAAACTAAAACAGCATAAAACTAGGAATATCTAAACAATGACTAGTGCAAAGAGCTTAATAATGTTATTTTGTTTTCATAAGCCAAAACATAATAAGAATGCCCAGCTTCCTTAGTCTTGAAGGAAAGTCCCATCCTGAGCTAATATGATTATGACACTGAAAACAATTTGGTTCTTTCCAAAATTATTATTATTTATAACATAATAAACCAATATTTATTTTTCTTGTACCAGATTTTTCACTTGGTGCCCAGTTCCAAACTAGTTCCCTCATCTCTATTKTCCTCTCAGTAGGAACTGCTTCAGCTTTACTATACAAAACTATGTTAAAATCATCCCAAAATTAAATATTGTTGCTTCTCTTTAGAAAGTCTACTCAATAAATTCCTTTAATTTCCAGCCCAAACTTAATCAGATGCTGCTTATAACCCTTTGTCTTTGTGCCACAGTTGTCCACACTCCCTCTTCAATTCTCTGATCTATTTATAGAGAACAAGCATGTCCTCAGCAGCTTTRATTTTTGCTGAACTAAAACTATGTTCCTCTAATCTCCTTCTTATACATATGGTTTTTAATGCCCTACTCATTTTAATAATCCTTTTCCACACCTGTTCAGCTCTGGACCTCTGTTCATTGAATGTGTACATCTAGAATAGAAGGAAATATTTCAGAAGGGCTCTTCCACCTTAACACTAGCACTTCCCTTGCTGTACTGGAAGGCAACACCTTAAGCTTTTATATTTCTCTTTTGCAGGCTGCCAGACTGATGTCTCATTTCTACAATTGACTAATATTCCCACTGCCATGATCTTCACTGATTGTTTAGACTTGGCAAGTTCCAAATTTCTTCATGAAATACTACTCCCATACAGCACCGAATCCTCTTTGCACTTCTCTAGGTGTCAGTGATATTCTGAATATACCTGGAATGACATCCTGGTWGACAGTGCCTCACAAGTGCTTGTTATCAGCACATTGAGCACACCACCCTTTGTGCCAAGGTCATTAACAAAAATATTAAGTGAGTTTTGTCTTAAGATTGATCTTTGAGGAGTAATCACTCTACAAGCACAGAGATGCTCCTTCAGCACATACGGCAGCATCCTCCCTACTCTTTTCCTTACTCATTTTACAATTCTTATAAGTGCCACTTCTCCAGTTCAGCCTGATGTCACACAGAAAATTACTAGCTGAAGACAAGAGACTAAAATGCAGTAAATATAAAACCGATCGTCTATCAAACAAAAATGTAAGGTTATTATAAACCATCTTCAGCAGAACAAGGTTTATCTCACTCTGTTTACACTTATTATGTGCATTTTGATGTTTTTTACATTAAAAAAATCTCTTAAGCTATAACACAGTAATGAGGCCAAACACACAGACCTCTATCAACTATCCTCTCTCCACAGCATCCTTGTCTCAAAGGCTGTTGGCTATTGGCCCAAAGATCCTCATATACAACAATAATCTTTGCAAATTTCCTTCTTAGGAACTTTAAAGTCTCATTGTCAATTCTTTTTGCCTTCTCTGACCCCAACAGCACAGGTGCATGCTGCTCTTTATGCACTACCAACCTGGATGAGGTTATTTCCAATTCTGAACTCATTTGCATTACCATCCTCTTCTCGGCCATACATTAAATATTTTATCCTCCTTATAGAGACTGGCATGGATTAACTATCTCTGCAGATGCTCAAAACAGATTTAGCAATATAACAACATTCAGCACATCTGCCAATCAAGTATCACAACCCAAACTCAAAGTTTGAGAAAGGGAGGTACYCCAATTGGTGATATTTTCCTCACTTCACAGAGGAAGTCTGTGACTCATGAAGTGCAAGATTCCCATTCCCAAAATCAGAATTCAACTATTTTCCCTTAATCCACAATTCAGTCCAAGGCTAGACACTCAGAGCGGCCTGTTCTCCTGCTAGCCTTGGATGTAGCTACTGCCTCACATTAACCAGTTCTAGGAGTTTGGGTTGAGGTCAACCACTGACACCCTGCGCAAAAGAAGAGTCAAGCTTGCATGTTTTCAGTGTGAGCAGCAACCAGGCTTGCAGAAAAGCATGTGGCTCTCAACTTGCTACACTTAAACCTGCTCTCCGGTTCATATCTAACAAACATCAGCTGAAACACAAAACTAGGGTTCTGAAAAGTGAATTTAAGGCAATATGATACATCTTCTACCTGGAGCTAGGATACGAAGCACACACCAAAGCTACCATTTTAACTTGGAGGAGGAACTCAAAGCACAGGCCCAAGGCTTTGGCCATGCATGCTGCCTGTGTGCTGAATCACTCTGGCACCTGTCTCTCTATCCAAGCAAGGCAGCTTAGGTGCAGGGTTGGGGTAGGCACAGTCTGAAAGCTGTGCTGGTGAGCAGCTGCCAAGCTCAAAATGAATTCAAAGCACAGGCTTTGGGTGTGCCAGCAGACCTGACCTCTTCACACCACCCTGTTCTTACCATTTCACCACAAAAATGACATCCACAGCACTGTTCTGCATTAAGGCTTGAGCAGGAGTAGCCATGTTTAAGGTAGAAAGCTTAGCAAAATATGGAGCAGACATGGCTGGACAAAGACACAAGTCACTTAGAGCAACCAGCTTGCAAGCCAATTGCTCAAGCAACTGAAAAAAATCATGCTCACCCTCCTGCAGAGCCAGCAAAGGGGCACCTTACACACTGGGTTCCTTGAAATTCAGCACTGCCACCATGGAGTTGCCATCAGGGAGTGCCAGAAACAGCAGGACAATCTTGGTCAGAGCAAACAACAACAGCAACCCAAGTARAAGTGCTTTGCTCTAAAGGCAAGTAGAAAAACCATTAGCAAAACCAGAAAGCAAACACTTTTCTCCCCAAATTCTAGGCTAATACCTCAACTGTATTTGTTCACTGTAAAAGAAAAATAAAAGCTTTACAGTTGAAGATGCAGCAGCTATTTGTAGCAAATAATGTTGCCACCAAACAGACTTTTAGTCGCTTGCTGTGTTATCAGTGAATAGCCTGATTTTTATGAATATGCTCATTAGTTGTAATTGTTTAACAAATGGCTTATCTGAACAAATTTCATCCCCGAGTTCTCTGATCTACTTGCTGTCTTTGATTACTCGCTAGATATGGTACATGATTACTTTGCTTTCAGAATAAGTAAAAAATGAACAATAACCAATAACTGTACACACTTTCATTTGTGAATGCACATGATATGTCTCATCATTGAAGGTGTCCTTCTATGAAACCAGTTTGACTCTAGCAAGTGTAATTTATTGAAGCATCTATTCATTACAAAGTTTACTTTAAAAAAATATGAAATTATCTTTAAATGTTAATTCATCTCTTGTTGCACATATCCCTTTTAAATACACAAGAGAAGCTATTATAAACACAGAAATAAGCTCTGTAACTCTTTCAGAGCCACATGAATCTTTTGGTAGAGGTTATCTTCAAAGAGTTATCAGATCTACACCAAAACCCAAAGCTATGATAAAAGTTTATATTCATCTACACTGTCTCCCTGAAAATATTAGCAYGGTAAAAGAGCAGGGTCCAAAAGATAAAGAGAAAAAACAGAAATGGAGAAACTGTAGGCACTTGCAGCCAAAGCCACATTCTCCACAAAACAGAAAAACCACTACAAAGAAAACATAGTGAAGTGCTGTGAAACAGTTTAAAGTCTTGACAAGAAGGAAAAGTCTCAATGTATATATCTAAAGAGAGAAGGACACCAAAGTTAGAAACTCTGCTTGTAAGGATATACAGGGGAACAGATCTGTGCACAAAGGTTTCATCCATTTGCTTATGCTGGAAAATAKTACACAGTTTTGGAATTATTAGTCCCATTAGCCACAAAAAGCACTCAGCTTTTTCAGTGCTATATCAATTGCTTTTTCACTCTAAAAATCAATATCTGCTAAATATAGCATACCAGTAACAAATAATGGACYACAAAGTGATTTGTTAAGATTTTTTAGAATGTTCTGCAAAAAAGCATGGTTTTAAATTCAGTGTGTGGTGTATCTAACAGGCAACCGGCCTTCCAAAAGCTGTGCTAAAACTAAGGAGTAAAAGAAAACAAAATCCTTAAAACAGAGAAACAAATTGAGATTCCCGCTTGATGCCCCTGAATTTCAAGCAGCAGTCTTTAAAAGGCAATTGCTTAAAGTATTTGCATATAGTTCARCAGAGAGTTGAACTGTGCATGGCACCCACTAACCTTGTATTGGTTTTCCTATTGTCAGAGATTCCAATGGCAGACTTATTCATCCTTCTCTTTTCCCTAATATTTTTAGCTCATTTCTTTTAAGATTAGGAAGATCTTATTCTGGGGAGTAAACAGACATTCATCACCTACCTCTGGAGAACTTTGAGTAACAAACAAAGCGAGGCAGGACACGAAGATGGAGCAGCTAAGGTCCAAGGTAGCTAGAARAGTGAGCTGGGAAAAGTCCAAACAAGAATTTAATCCTTCTATGAAGATAGRCAAAGCTGTAAAGAATAATAATGTATGTTTTAATGTGCAGAGTGGGGGAAAACCATACACAGGGTGGAAGCAAACACATTATGTAGCAAGCTGCTTTTGGACAGAGCTGCTGTATGAGATAAAAGCAAAAMCATTTTCTAAAAGGCTGTAAACAAGAACAGAACAGACCCAGAAGAATGGAAGTCTATGTATCCTGCAGATAGAAAAGGGGACAGTAACATCTATTAGAGCAGCAGCAGCACCCTAGTTGTACTAGAACTGTTAGATCAAGCAACTGGCCTAACACCTTCCATATAAATGGGATATATGTTAATCAAATTGGGCAGTAGCAACTAGAGGTAGTTGCACATAAAAATTCCAATTTTAAAAAAATGAGAACAATTAGGCGCATATGTGGTTAATCCAATATTTTACATGACAAGCTTCGTTCTAGAAGAAATATTTTCAAGTGTGCATATCTTAAATATTTGTTAAGAAAGCAAAATTTTGAAAGACCATGCAAACTGGTTCTGCCCTACTTTCTGCAACAGAGCTTGATTTTTGCACCAACACTTTTTAAGTCATGCTGCATATGAAAGTTACAGCACCAAAGGTAAACCAGGGAAGTTGTACACCTCACTCTAGATTATTCCTGCCTACTTCTTCTGTCCTACACTGCCTGTGACTACCTTTTTATATATAATTCATGTAACACAGACTGAAGATAAATTGCCTCAATAAGTTGTGTCATTTCATGCAACAGTGAGTATAACATCACTGCTCTTTGCATTGGCACTATTGGAAAGATACTTGAGTGTTATAGTGTCACAGAGGATTTTTATCTATCATTTTTAGTTTWTGTTGTGATTTTTGTTTTCCTGGAACCAGAGTTCCTATTAAAGTCATAAACATGACAACTTTTGGATGAAWACTAATTTATAAAAGTCATTAATATAATTTATTAGAATTCATCAGCACTTTAAGCAGTTCAKTCTATCCTGACATAGGAATAGATACAAGTTTTTCTCTCTTTAAAATAGCAGTGAAAAAGTGTTTATTATAATGCAATACTGACAAGTAGAAGATTTTTCTTACATTCTCACCTGCAATACTATRGTTTCAATTGCTGGAATCATTGATACAAAATATGTTTTTATTGTCTTTAAAATTAAATTTGCAGAGAAAAAAATTGAAATATGTGCAGTAGTTGCTGAACATACAAAGCCACCAGGGAAATCCAATGCCAATATTTGCCTCTTAGTGTTAATCTCACATGAAGTCTGACTTATTTGCCAATTGATTGATTTTGACCAAATGGACACAGTAGAAGAAATGTAWGGGGATTTTCATGCATTTTGGCTAAGTGGCCTCAAATACAGCATTGCCAGCTAGGATGAGCACCTCTTCTCCAATAACATTGGCCTACATGCATAGAGGCAAAAGAATGGGATTCAGAAAGGAATAATATTTCAATTCTCAAAAGTACTGAGGCAAATTTTACTACTTGGTCAGGGTGCCAGGATTCAAGCCCAACTGTATGGGGACACCCTTTCTCCAAAATAATCTCATCTTTCTCATGAATGTCCAAATATATGGACAGAGAGAATGAGAGAAAAAATAGACACTGATAATTTTAGAAAGTGCCTTCTGGCAAGTCCAGAAATAGAACTCAAATTCTGACTCATAGGTCTACATTCTGGCCACCTAACCACATCACATTTCCTAGAGACTTGTTCCATAATGCATATTTCATAAATATTATGGTAGAAATGCATTATAAAATCATCATAAAAACTCATAAGTGCTGTTAATAGTTTACTATGCTTATGTACATTTTAAAGTAATGACCCATTATGGGGTCCCCAGAACGCAAGATGTTACATCACATCATTAATGCTTAATATTTTATAAATCACTAATGTTAAGCCATCAGAGCAGGGCTATGAAAGCCTCCCAAGCACAAGTAAATGGAATTCTGCAAGGATTTATTTTAATAGGGAATACAGAAATGCCAAATGATAAAGGCACTTTCATCAACACAGACAATACCATGCTATTGTGAATGAGATTACTTTGAACTTAATATATTGCCAATGTAGAAAAAAACAGTATGTCTCTCCTGCTTCTTCATTCTACATTCTGATTTCTTTGCATTTAGCAAAGACAAACTGTAAATTGCTTGAAGGGGATTAATGAAATAAACCTCAGCATACAAGAATTATGCTTCCTAAAAATATTTGGGTTTGACATCGTAGAAGTGTAAATGACATTTTGTTCCCTGATTTCTAGAATCTCATTTTGCATGCAGTTTCCCACCCCGCCCTGTTCCTTGGATACACAAAATTCAGTGGCGGGAATACACATATGGAAAGCACAAGAAATGCAGGTCTASAGCCTCACATGTGTATATGTTTCTAGAGACAATATGCATACATAGAGACTCATATGAATTTGAGGAAAACCAAATGTTTTAGGAGATTTTTAGTTTTTTTCTTCTTACCATACAGGAAAGTTCATCAAAACGAGAACTGAAGACCTCCTCTATGCACTTGTATGTGCAAGAAACAAAATTTCACCAAATCTATTTCACTTAGTCATTAGTGGAAAAGTGGATATAAATCAAATATTTAAACACTTGACGTATCAGAAAGAATGAAATGGCAAAAGATGGAAAAAATGTGTTTTTTTAAATCATTCACCACTTCCAAGTCACTGAATGCCTGAAAGCAAAAGGACTTAAATCTTCATGGACCACCATTCTAACAGAAAATCATAATATGGAAAAGCGAGTACATTGTTCCTACCATGAAAGCCTAGTACACACTGAGCTCCAGAAGTACACACTGAGCTCCAGAAGAACATTAAAGCATGTAAGAGAAAAAAAAAATTTGTGAGGGGCTTCAGTCTTTGCAGCAAAAACCACTCTTCTCCCCTCAGCACTTCTGAAACTACAGATGAGTATTTCCTACTCTGTGTGTTGTATTTGACCTGGCAGAACTGAGCATCTGAGAAAGTGCTTGATTATGCTCCAAATCCACAAACTGAAAGTGAAAAAATATCCAGTGTTTAGAAAGTAACCTAGGAAGAATAAAGTAGGTAAAAAGTAACATTCAGCATAATTATGCACATATGTGTATTTTAAAAATGGAACACAGGAAGTAACTCCTCTAGCACTTATGGGTGTATGAGTATGGTTAAAGTCTATAYAAACAGAATAAACTCTCAGCATAATCTTTATAAGACTTTGATGAGAATCCCACTCTTCTGTTTATTTCTAGAATAAGCATTTACCTATAGAAAGAAAGTTTAAATAGTAGTGTTGTTCAATGACTGA